AATTTGGGGCGTCGAAAACAAACCGTAAAACCTGCTAATTTATCAAGCGCGTTAAAAATGCTGGCGCGGATGGTGTTTGTACAATGATCATTTAGAGTCAATCCCGCAGGTCTTGGGGGATTCTAATGGTGAGCTTAATGGATACTGACGTTGCTATTGCAAGCCGGGTCGGCTATTATTCGGCTCTCCGTCCGCCGGCAGCATCATTAACACTCCCGTTGCAACATGTCGTGAGTAGCCGGATTCCGTGTGTTTGCTTGGACGTGTCCACGACTTTCAAGCGGATGCATCATCGCTAGCCGGGCAAGCATGAATAAACCGGGAAGCTCAAGACGACAGGAAAAAAAGCCCTGGTACTCTCGGGGGGCAACGAGAGAACAAGACGCAAAAGAAGGGGGAAGTATCACAAACAATGACAGGAAGAGGGGGACGAGTCGATGCAGCGAGAAACCGAGTGCAGTCACAGGGGAGTAATCGCTCATGTTTTCTTTCGCGCTCGATTCCTCTTTCAGTCACAGGGTGTGTTTTTTTCCTCGCACGCCGGAGCATGAAAATGGGCATGTCCGGGCGCACGTGTGTGTGTGACACTGCATGAGATAGAGGGGCGGCGTGTTGAAGCGCGGCAGGCACGGTCCACTCGTGCCTGGTGGGACAGCGACGTGTTGTGATTCCATGTTCGGCCTGAAATCAATCAATCATGCACTGATTTGGATCTGTTTCGCTCTTGTCTTGACGTTGTCATTAAGAGTGCGCGGCCTGCCGTCGCTTCCTCAATGCCGCATGAAGCACGCAATGCAAGGACGCAGTTCGCTTAAAAAAACGTGTTGATTAGATACGGGTATCATGTTTAAAAAAAAAGTGGAAACGCTCCCTTCTTAGCTGCGCCAAAACCTGCCACACCATGCGAAAAACCTGCAATTTGAGCGCAACTGTTACAAAAAACAAAAACAAAAAAAAAAACCTAAAAAACAGTCAGCTGAAATGTTTCGCAGGGTATGCAAGCGGCCATAGTTTACGGTACGTTCATCAGAGTATGGCCTGCATATTATGTTTCCCTTTTCTGCCCAGAATCTCCTCTACTGGCTCACCATCAGCTCAGCGTTTGCTTCTTCTGAAGCCGCAGATTCCCCGTCGGGAACTTTCGTCTCTCCCTTTATCATCTTGAGCTGAATGTTGTTAATAACGTTGAATTTGTCTTTCCCGAAATGACGTTAAAATTTTAGTCATGAATATAGAAATACCAGTCAACGTAAAAAGCTGAAAAGGCACGTCAATGCCCTTAAAATTGCAAAGAAAAAATTGAAAATAATATGCATTCTCTTGGATTATATTAAAAGTTTCATTGCATGGACGGATGTTAATTTATCAGCACCGCTTTTTTTCTTACATACGTTTGTTCAACACATCTCTTCAAGATATCTCGTAGATTTTAAATCGAAACTGGGCCAAGAAAAGAGAGAAAGATTACATTAACTAGCAAATCAACACAAAATATCCAGTTGGCCATTTAATCAGTAATATGTTTATCCTCAAGAAATTGCATGAACCTTCACCAATCGCTGTTGCACTGACCATCTTGATTGTTTCACCATTTTTATAATTCTCTTACGTTCAATTCCCATTTCCTCACATTTGTCCGCCCGACGCCTGTTTCCCTAGGAAAATGATTTCAATTTACAAAGTGCTTCATATTATCGCAGCTTCGTCCATGACTTTCCATTTGAGAGTCTTATACTTTGCATGACTGTACACTTTACAGAAGCAGTACTTAAAGAAAAAGTATTTATCATGATAGCAACTCTGGCTTCTTGGTATTTGCCTCTAGTAGACCTTTCATTGACCATGTTGTACTTTAAAGAATCACGAAAAGGAGATTCTTAAAATAATGTGTTGTGGTAAAAACAAAATATCTTGGAGATGGCGCACGCGACCAATGAGCTTAATGCATATTTGTATGACAACTTTGGTCTTGGCCAGAGATGTTACCTTGCAATCACTGTCGTATCTCCCAGAGCAATAATTTGATGTGTTGGTATTTAAACATTATTTGATACCGCTGAGGTATTTTGAACTTTCAATCGGTTAATGGTAAATAAATTATTCATGCATGGACATTCATCGCTCCTCAAAAAGGGGGGGTGTCCCTCTCCTGTCGCCAGCGACTGACGCCAATGGATTCAGAACTCCTTCGATTAAATTCAGTATTTCTTTGTATAATGTTGGAGTTGAAAGTGAACTCCCTGTAGTTTGTTGCCGTTTATCTAACATCGGGAAGTATTTTGAACTACGATAAATAATGCAAACACCGCAAGTATCAACAGTATAGCAACGGTAACATGGGAGGCCATAAAAAACTTAGAAGGAGGCGGGGAAAAATAAGTCAATAAAAGAATTGGAGTTTGGCAGGGTCAAGCTGCCCTCATTTAGGTAATCACGCTGCTGCGGCTCTAATATGTCGGCGTCCTCTAATAAAAGTTGGGTTTATAGAGAATAATAAGCCGAGAGACAAAAAAACACAGCAGCGGGAGCAGGGGGACGCCTTTGGCGAGGCCGCCCAGCATCGCGGTCCCCGGCCACCGCCAGCCTCACACGACGGCCTGCATGCACGGTGCCCTTTTATATTATGTTTTCGGCTTGACCGTTTTTCCTCTTTGGTCGCAGCGCAATTTCCTTAATTTCGAACCCTGTGATGTCGCCGCTGTTCTCCCAGTCTTAACTCCAATAAACAAATGGAAACAAGAACACGATTGGCCACCACTCGTGGTGCTAATCGGAGGCGACTTCTCAGAGGGAGACCCTCATAACACGCGCTCGCTTAACACTAATTTCATATCAGCTATACAAGCCGGCTCTCCTCGACCGGCAGAGAGAAAGAAAAGACTTTCCCCAAAGATGCGCACTATAGATCTAGATCACCAATATTTAGCCCTGGACACGGAATCGTTTGTGTCAGGGGAATAATGAAATTAATCGCTGTCGATTATTGAATTATGTTGCACATTTTCTTAACACCTCGGTTGTGAGCGCGCAAGATGGTCTCAGTGATACTCAGTAATTTCCTTGTCCCAATCGCCCGAATCAGCAGATTTGGATCTGCGGAATGACTTTTAGGAGAAAAAAACAGAGAGAAAAAGAATGGAATTGGACGACCTCTTATCAAACGCGACCTATATACATGCATGGTGTAAGGTGTGTGTGTGGAATACCTTCCTCGCTCAAGTCCACGTGACTGTACAACGGACCCTTCGAAAACGACGAAGTTACAAGGTCCTGATCTAACTTTATTTTACAGGAGGTCACACATATCCTTACCTGTCAGACATAGAAAATAGAACAGTTGCAAAATTGTACCAGATGCAGTCGGTTAAACGCGCTCAAAATTCACAGAGTCGAGGAAAACTAACGTCGGTGGATGAGGAGTGTTGTCAGTGTTGAAGTGATATCTTGTACTTAGCTAAAAATCCCTTCCAATCCTGCGGTTATCTTGCTAGACAAATAAAATCGAGATAGAGAGATAAAAGATCAACAAATGTAGCTTAAGTAGATGTGAAAATATTTTAAAAGGCTGTTTTTTTCTTCTGGCCAATCAAAACCGTGAATGTTTTTGTTTAGAGTTTTTTTTTTAATTGTACCATCGGCAAGTAGAAATTTTGTTTAATTTTCACACATTGATTTTTCTGGCCAGATAGCAGGTGATAGGGTATTTTTTTAAAATTATTTACTTTACTTGGAAGAAAAAAGTTCATTTCTCTTAGTTTGCCTGACATTTCCCAAGTAAATTTGTACCGAACCTTAACCGCACAAAGCATCACGCCTGAAATGGCCGACTCAAGCGCGCTGTACACTTCATGCCTTAATCCACGCGTTCAAAACTCATTGCCGAATTTTGTCCGCAAGCTAAATACAAAAAAAGGAAAAAAAATCTTGGCTACACAGCAAATCAAGCTAATCCAGTGGTGACAATAAAAATCGGATTTCTCATAATATATCACTTTCAAAGGCGTCCCGGCGCTGAACAATCCGTTGGGTTGAACTGGAGCTGGAATAAGTGTTTTGAAGTTCTGCCGCGCCGGCGCTTTTTAAGCGCCTGGATTCAAAGGGTCGCCGGCTGCGCCGGCCCGGCGTGCCACGGTGGTGTGACGGGCCCAAATGATTTCGGCTCTACTGGGAGAAAAAAGTTTATGGCTTATTATGAGAGTTACCTTGTTTGGCATAAAAATCAATCAACTATGCATTGTGGAAATGGCTTTGGAGTAAAGAAGGACTAATAGTAAGGATTACCAACGTAGTAATTTTCTTTTCAAGCCGGTGCGAGGCCGGGGTTCCAGCAGCGACCACCGGAGGGGTTGAAGGGAGGAAGGACTTGGCAGAAACTCCGGAAATAGGTCAAGTCAGTCCGTTCCTGCTCGGGAGAACGAACGAGAGAATCATCCAAGCGCGTCGCTCTGCAGGAGGAATAGGGGGGGGAAGAGAGAAAAAATCGTAAGGATCTAGGCTAGCGTTTCTGATGATTGCTCATTTCTGGAAAAATAACAATTATTAACTCCCCCACCGCCGCTGATTATTTCAAAGTGAGAGACAGCTCGCAGGAAGACAAGAGGGGAGAATTTCTGCTCGGTAACCGTGAAGGCAAGTTCTCCCCCCTAACGCTTGCGGAGCCGCCCGCTGTGTGCCCAATGTTCCTGCCTTCTCCATTTCTTTCTTTTGCCCCATCCATCTCCCCGGTTATAGGGGGTGGACTGAACGGGGAGGTTTGGGCCCCGCGGCCCCCGCGCTCAGCTTCTGAAGAGCCGCCGTGATTCGGGCTTTTGCCCCCGCATGAAAGTCTCCGAAAAGCGATTACTTCCGCTCCAAGGACCTTCTTCAGTTGTTTAATTTTCTGTACATAAATAGGGTCCCTCGCACAAAATATGTGCGCACGCCTTTGCTCAATAGAGCACAGTCGGGCCTGGGAGGCACTGACTTATAGGTCTAGCCGCTTTCGCCTCGTGGCTGTCTTTCATTGCGGGCGCATTGGCATTGGAGGGAAAAAAGGAGTGGGGAGAAAGAGAAAAGAAATGGGACTCGCTCACAAGGAACAATACCACAGTAGACTATGTGTGGGTTTTTGTTGTCAAGGATCCGACTCGGTCACCGAGCCGGGAAGAACAATGTTCAGCAACCCCTCAATGCCGACGGTAGAAGTGGTGGACGGCTGACTTTCGTCTTTGGTTGATTTCTGCGCTAAGCCGTTTCTTTTTCAGTCGATTAACATCGAAAACGACGTCTTCTGTGTCTGTGACCAGAGCTGGACTTTACGGAGAAATCATGTTGTAGGTTGAATTGCACAATCGGGACTCTTCGTTACTTTTTGGACATTAAGATTGGACATTCGGTAAGTTTAAATAATAGTCGTTTAGGTTTAAATTGTTTTTAATTCACAGTTTCTGTTTCGGAAGCATTACGGAGTACGCTAATCAAACGCTTCATATACTTTCAAATAATTACTTCTGACGTTCCGTGACTGGAGAGGACGGTTTCTTCAAATTTTGAAAATAAAATGTCGCGTCCATTGGTTCACTCAAAGACGTAGCCGACGAAAACCCTGATTTTACTTCTGATTAGAAGATGATCTTCCTAAGCAAACCCAGCGTTATCCCTCTGTAATTATTGTTGAAACACAGCCCGTAATTTGATCTGATTTTCGCCTGAGCACACAAGGGGACCTCATCGCCTTTCGCCCGGCCTCTCTGCACCGGCCACAACTACATTATTCCTGGGCAAACATAGGCGCGTGCTCCACTCATGCAAAATAGAAATCCAGTCATCAATTTGGGCTAGCTGTCCCGTTTCTGATGATTCCTACCTGCGATCTGTGCAAACACAAATGTCCTAAGAAAAACTTTTCTTGTCACAAATTGTAGACACAGGATCAGCATGTGGATTCTGTCAAAGCGCGGCGCTGTTGTAAATGTTTCAAGTGTGGGCACTGGTCGAAATTCTTCGTTTCTTGTCTCATGTTTTCCTCTTTCTAAAGCGTCCTCCCTTTGATCATTCATGATCAGTCTAGGTTCGCAAGGAAGGGGTGGGAACATCTAATCAGTCAAAGATAGTCACCTCCATCTGTGATTGAAATTCAATTAAAACATCATCATTAGGCCGTCGGTTGCGTTTAATTTCGTTAGTCGCTTTCACCTCGGTGCGAGTCAGTGGCTCGGCGGTGGTGCTGCGACGGATCGAGTGTGTTCCCTGGCTCGATGCACGACCGATCGCATCACGACGCCCAAACACAGGCTGGGTTAAAAACAGACAGAGAATGGGATGTTCTCTTATATTCAGCTGAGAATGAAAACCAGGGAATGAGTGCCTCAACTTCACCAAGAATCCTCTGGCAGTTTAAATATAATGCCTGCATATTCATTTTCTTTCTCTCCGTGCATGACGTACCTTAGTTTATGCTCACGGTATAGTGCGTCTTTCAAAACCATTAAGTATGAAAAGCTCCTGCGTTTTTGTCACAGGAAAGAAATAAACATTAACAGCAATAACGACATGCACTTTCCATAAATGCTCGAAGGACAATTTCTTTTATTGCTTGAAGGTCCCATATATAGATAACTTTGGTTATATAACACGTATTCCAAGACGTGTAATTAGGTTTGATAAAGAGTTTCGTGTTGACAGGAATTTACCGACTTACTTACAGGCGTCGTCCATCTTCAAATGAAAACGTATACTGCACCTGCTTTCACATACACGATAATTGTGACTCCTGCAAGCGTCGATTTGTTGTTTGTAAGCGACCCAGTTCAGTGTAGCAGATGGGCTTACTTCTTCATCTGTAAAATTAAAAGTGACGGTTCAACTGATGCTTGTCTAGTGGGCGCTTCACAGTTTTCCCGTTTAAAATTAGGAACACATTTTTAGAAACTGTTGACTTCATGCATGGTTTAAGAAATATGTGAAGGTGTGTTAGCTGTGTCTGTTTTAGTTTGACGAAAGTATTCTAATGTATATTTTACACAATCTATAGTCAAAATGTAATACAAATGAATCTTTTTAGCGAAGTTGTAACTCCTGACGAAAAGCCTTTCTGAAAGGTACGCTAACTCATATTTTGCCAAAAGCTCGAACGATAACCTTTCTGTACTCCAGAAGGGGAATGAATTTATACTTGTGTTCAGACAACTGAGCCCGAAAATGGTCGGATATTTGAGGGAGATGATACATGTAAACCAAGAAATCAAGTCATTGCTTTTGCAAGAGTGCGGATGACAGGAAATGTTTGTATCCTTCTCTGGTGTCTTCTGTAGTCTTCAACTAATAACTTGCACTAATGCAGCCAGTTTGATATTCATTATTTACGTCCGTAAAATTAGTCAGATTTTTCTTTTATACGGAGTAAAAAAAAGTGTATTCACCCGCTGCCTTCTCTTTCGTTGATCGGAGTTGGTTCTGAGCAACTACAGACCCAGAAAGCCACGGCTCAATTAACGACAAAATGCGGCAACCATTTCACACTGCTTCGGAGTTTGACAATAACCGTCATCACGCCGGCCAGTCGGCCATTTCACCGAGATGAATTGAGCGTGGGCACGACCTGCACACGTGCATCAGGGGAAAAAAATATCGTCTGGAATTTTCTTTCTCCTTCTGTTGATTTCTTCCCAACACTGGCGGCTTCTTTGAGTTTATTTAATGGTTAATACCCCTAAATCCCCCACATCACAGGGGGATTATCCCTAAATACTATTGTGCGTGCAGAAAAATATTTTGGAAGAACTCTTCCATGCATGATCAGCCCAAACCAATGTCTCATTTTCCTCGACGGGAGTGCGCATGTGCCAATAAAAAAAAACTAAAATTTGTCCGTGCGCAGCAACAAAAGACGGAAAACAGAGCAACGTCGCAGTCACTTTACACATTTTACTGACTGATCAGCCTGTTGGCTCAGGAAGAAATTCATGTACTAACAAAATCCCGAAAAAGGAAGTCTGTATACAGAATACAAATCATGTGAAAGATAAAGGGACGTTTCATGTAACTTTGGCCTCAAAAGGCGTGTAGTGGTATACATTTTGAAAGAGAGGTGAAATGCAGGATTACATATATTTGAAATAACCTTGTCATTTCAATGAACTTCAGCGCTTTTTACGAATCTAATATTACTCATGCTCTGAGCACATTAATTCATCCAGATATAAAATATCATATTTCAAATCACAATGCCTCGAAATTTTATATGTCCTGAACAATATCCTTGAACGTTAGAATTTTCTAAATGTTCAGTGTCAACGCGACAGCCCTTCTGAGAATGTCTCGATTTCTCACTGCCACTAGAATCGAAAAAACTGCGATTTCTAGGAAACACGTCGTTGGTGCACAACGTATTCTTTATGGACAGATTCTATTCATGCAATCGATTTTTTTACGGTATCTTAAATATGAATTTCGGTGTACTTTCACCTTTATTATTTTAAAAGGGAATTGTTCGCATATCTTTTCATTTTTACATGCAGTTAATAAAGAGTCAGATTATCGGAATTGCTGCCTGTTTTTAAAATTACATATTTAGAAAAAAAAATGAAGTAAAACCGTGTTGTAACATAATGCATTTGAGTGATATCATTATGCACATAATAGTGACGTTATATACAATAACTTAACTGTGACGTACATGAAAAACCGTAGATATTTTCATCAATGACCTACGGTTTCTTTTTCATAACGGGATAGTCTAATAATTTTCTGTGATTCCTGAAAAATCACTTTCTTTTTGGCTGAAGGGTTACAGGAGAGTTGTTCCCCCAATGTTTTGTATCAGTCTGGCATTTTGAACAAACATCGTTGCTGAGTGTAAACCCCTTGTTGAGGGCCTCAAGCCGTTTTTTGAATATCCGTTGAATGTAAATTTGAGCATGCACCGTACATTTTGTGCTGTGAAAGATCGCCTCCACCGTATAAATCCACAATGACCCGCCAGCGAAAGGTGGAGTTATTGCCAAAACAAACACGGGACGTGTACCAAAAAGTGTTCCGCGATCCAAGCATGACTCAATATCCCAGGCATAATTAATTCAACATTATAGGTTCCTCTTTGGTCACAGCAGCCAGGTATTCCCTCAATCAATGCGAGACAAGAGTTTTGGCCAGTTGGATCTTATTAGATTTAAGTAAACTGTCGAAACTAAGAAAATGACGATCTCACTAGTTTTTGTATCGGTGTCGTTAATTGTTGGAATATTGCTGTTGGTGGTGAGCCGTAGGCGTCGTTTGTGCTGTTGCCGGTGTATACACTTTAAAAACAAGTGTTAATGTTTTACTCCTCTTAAACGCCTTCCTTGTAACACTTTTTGAGCGCGTTGTGGAGCTAATAAATACGTTCTCTTGTTTATTTTGTAAACAAATACACGTTGATGTATTAATAAATTTAGACACAATGACACATCTGGATTTTTTGACAAGACACAAAAATACGTTTATCGGGTAGTAATACTTTCTGAACACTGAAACGCGTTATTTTCACCAAAAAGTGTTAAGTTTTAAACCTTTATATGCGTTTACAATTAAACCAAGACGCGTTTATAATGGGTGTTGGTTTTCACAGTGCAGCCTTGTGCCATGGTACTGTAGGTGTTGTCTATGCAGGTGGCGTTGCTGGTGCTATAGGTGTAGGCGTTGTTTGTGCAGGTGCAGTTTTGTACAGTTGTTAATATTTATGCTATATTACTGCTTGATATCTGCTTCTACCGTTAGCCCAATCTAATCAACCTTTCCAACCCATTCATTTCAAACACCGGGGGGTTACACTGAACGCCTCGGTGTTATCAGAGGACCATGCTAACACTTTTTTACCGGTGTTAAAATTTTTGGTGTTATTTCAAAACTGTTGGTGTTACTTTTAACACCATCCAGTGCATTATAACACCTGTAGGCGTTTAAAGTAACACCAGCAGTGTTAAAGTAACACATTTGGTGTGGTCATCTGTTAACACCCAAAAGCATTGTTTTTAACACCGCAGTTTTTGCAGTGATGGTTCATAATTCGTTCCTTGACATGCCCCCTACTCATAATTTATGCACTTCGGCTGTGATTTCCACTATAGTTTCGTGTTCTCCTGGGGAGGGTCTAAACAAAATAATAATTATACAAAAACAAAAAAGGCCCTGTTTGTGTAGTCTAAGTTGTTGCTGTGTTGCTGGAGGCAATGTTTGTGCAGTTGATGTTGACAGTGCTGTGTTGGTGTAGCCTGCTGTTGGTGTGTTTGTGCTGTATTTGCAATATAGAGGTTGTTTGTTGAAGTAGTTCTTTTAACTCAGAGTTCCGGCTGGATTTGATGTTGTAATTGCTGCTGTTGTCTTCGTTTGCTCACGTTCAAAGTTCACATTATACTTGACTCTTCTTTTTGTAGTCAGGGTTGAAGGGATCTACCTACATGTAAATGCCTTTATTTACTGAATTAATAATTTGAGAGAAGTCGACAAACAATCGACCAATTTCATTTTGTATGTGCCGATAAACATATCAATAGCGTAATCTAGAAACGTATTTTAAGAGACAAGGGGAGGTATGGAAAACTGTTCCTGTAGCAATTTAATAGTATTTCATTGATGACTGGTTATGCTATTCTCATTGACACATCTTGGGCAACCATTTCATGACTCATGCAAAATTTATGTCTCACTGGGTTAAATAGAAATCTGGCTAAAATAAATACAACTCGGGTGTCCAGAATTGACGTTCGGATATTCTCTTTGAGTAAATCCAGTGCGAGTAACTGAACGAATGTTCTTCTTCGACCTCAAGGACTTGATAAGTTATTGAACAGTCAATGTTGTTTTATTAAACCTCAATTGGCTGATGTTGGGCTGGGAGTTTTACCCCCGCTATCATGCACTCCCACAAGCCTACTTGGTTTTGAGCTGCGACTCCACTCTGAAGGGAGGTCATGTCCGGACATTTTGGGAGAAGCCAACGAGCGATAGGCAAGTGTGAAAAAAGGTTCAACGAGAATGGGAGACAAAAATGAACTGGGAGGGAAGTGTTCCATCTTAACGTCAAAGTAATTCAACCGGAGCTCCAACGACCGACCTCCACCTAGCCAAGCGACCGGAGCGGTACCTGGCGGCCTTTGTTCGCCCGGACAATGTGCAATTTTCTCCCTTCTGCGGTGAACAGTGGGCTATTTCATGGGTGAACTACATCACTCACTCACCATTTATCAAACCAGACAGGGCCAGAATAACACCAGAAGTCCATCGGCCTAGTTCCCGACGACCGAAACAAGTTCAGGCTCTGATAATTCCTTCAACCCCAAAATAATAATATTTGGAAGTGTAACTCCCCTTAAACACCAACTGCCCTAAATTGACTCTTAAAAAGCAAGTAAATTGTTTACACGGACTGGAGTTTTTGGCGCGCCGCCGAAAAGTACATGAAGCACCGAGAAATAAAGCGGAGAACGCGTCCATTGTGGCAGTCATTGAGTAAATTAGTCCTGCGTTCCTTTCTCCATTACAATTGGGAAAATTGAAATCGCTTTTTGTTGACTATGATTGCGCTCAATTCAATTTCTATTCTTCTTCTTCCCCCGAGGCCGGTGGAGACCGCGACAGCCGAGCGAATGACTGAATCCAAGCCGCAGCCTCGCACTCCCGGCTAGTCGATACTGCGAACGCAGCACGGCTGGTCCCATCAGGCAGCTTGAAAGACGCGTCCAGTAGTTTAAGACAGAAAAGAAAAAAAAACATACAAGTCTGGCATGAAAATCTGGTGATGTAAAAACACTTGATTCATACACCATACTGGAGCTGGTTTCACTCCGTGTCTGATGACTGAAATGACCCACTAGACAATCATCCGGCCCCGGTACTACACTCTTCCCTCGTCGGCTGATTCGGTAAGTCGCTAGGCAATTAAGGTTTCCCACCGTACTGCGCCCGTCAAGAGCTATCTTGTCAAATTGCTCATCGGCTCACGGCAGATGCGGCCAGCTCATGTCTAATGCACTACCAACCGCGTTTTTTTTCTGCACACGACACATTTGTTTATCAAATGACGCATTTGCCTGCACGGGGCCCCCTTAAAATATTATAAGTAAATTCAATTTTCGAAGTCTCGAAGCCGCAAGGAAAGGAAACTCATTTGCGTCTTGCACGCTGATGTGCATGCTCCTTCCTTCTCATAATTTCCTCCCTCCAAAATTGCAATTTTGCTGTTAACGTAGTCTATGATTTATTCACTGTTTAAAAATGACAACCCCCTTCGGAATAAAGTGCAAATAAAGTTTCCTCTTTTCAATGCAAAATTAGATTCACGAACAGAATCATACGTGGGGTTCTATACCTTTAAACAAATGAATATCATTTGAAGGCGTGGATGTTCAATTGTGATTACAAGAAGTTGGGTACAACGGATAATTCCCAAACTATTATGCTAAATTGCACAAAGGTTGATGTATAGTTCAGCACAGTGCTGTGTGAAAGCACAGCTGCCGAAAACCGATGAACAAGAAAAACGCGCCAAGAGTTTCACAATCAACACAAATCCAAAACTCTGTAAAATTCTCCTGGAAACTTCATATTTCCTGCAGTGGGTTTGTTAGGTTTAACTCAGTTGCCTGTTACTTCGACAACAATGCACCTAAAAAAACAAGCATATACATTACGAACAAAAAAAAACTGAATAGCAGAAGGAAATACATTCACAATTTAGATATTTTATGACGAGAACGGTGCATTTTCAGTCAAGCGTAAAATAATAATTTTTTTTTAAAGTTTAGTGTAAATCGTCATTAACAAGATAGAAGTAGAAATAGAATTTGCCGGCATTCCTTAATTTTCTCGTCAGGAACGACTTCAAAATGAGTATTTGCTGGCAATGTGTCCTCAAAACGAATTCCAAGACTGTGTTTCATGCAGATGAACGACGAGGACTGCTTGAAGCAAACAAACCAAACATCAGGAGGAGTTAATTTATCAATGGAATGAATTATCATTAGGCAAAGGCGCAGTGGCGTAGCTAGGATTTTACTAGTGGGGGGCACAAAGGGGGCACCAGCATGGGGGGGGAACCAGCTTTCAGTGGTGTGGTTTTTTAGGGCAAGTTTTTGGTAGTCTTGTTCAATATATTTTTTTCAGTGTGTGTGTGGGGGGGGGGGCACCCGGAATCGGGGGGGGCGTGCCCCAGGCTCCCCCCCCGGTGGTTACTCCACTGCAAAGGCGTCAGTTGGGATGCGATTACTTTTGTGACAGGATTAGTGCGCAAAGATGCTACCATACGTTGAACAAAACCACACATAGCTTTTTGGTGCACCGTCGGTATAATTCGTATTCGTGGGTATAATTCGTGTTTGGTTTGGGAAGATTTCAACCCGACATTTTGACTTACAACACATCCACGTCAGAGCGATGTATCTTGGTTCATTCTGAATTGGTTTCCACAAAATGTTAAGGCTTAGTACGCTGCAATCTTTTTAAAGTCAACTGACAAAACAAAATATACTCTTGGCATTTGCACCTCGCGGAATGTGCAGCTCTCTGAGTATGCATGTACGCACGCACTTTGGCTTGTTTTTTATTTTCTTGTACCTAATTCCCAATTCCGTGTTTGCCACAACATGTGAATGATAACGAAGACGGATGTATTGAAAATGATTAGCTGCTGTCTGGTCTCCTGGCGACTTTTGTTGTGCTCTTCTTATTTATCCCGTTTTTATATTTTAAGAAATGGGCCACCTGACTTCACTTGAGCTTGCCAACATTCAGCATAATCTCGCGGAAATGACTGCCTTTTGTAACTGGGCCTCAAGAGGACGTGGTTTCAGTAGGCGACTTTTCTTGATTCAGCAGAATAATGTGCTTTATATAACGCCGCATATTGCAAGAAACGGTTGAGTTTTTTCCGGCTCTAATGGAACTCTACAAACGCAAATGGCATCTTTTGTACCCTGTCAGCAGCGCGAGTTGACAGTAATCGATGTAATGAAGTTTCTTAGGCTCACTTTTTTTGCATCTTTATACTTCTCTTCACTGTATGTAATCGTTCTAAATCCTCATGGAATTAAGTGTATTGCAAATGGCATATTTCAAAATTAAGGTTAATGAAAGACAAAGGTGCGGTTTCAAGATTTGTATTACTGATCGTTCGCAGTCTAGCGCCCTCTACTAAACGCATCTGCATGATTGTCTGCTGTTTGTGTAGGACGCCACCAAGGCGTTTCCAGCGAGTAGACATGCGCTTTTCATAATCTGTAAATGGGACTCTAAATGCATCTGTATATTGGATTTTGTAAAAATTAATGTATGGGTCCAAAAGGTCAGGTAGGAACCGTTTCAACGCTAAAATGTCCAACTTTTGTGAAGAAAGGCTTCTCTTTATCTTTGGTCACGTAGGTTCATAAAAATGGAAATAACACAGAGGCACGTATATCGTACTATTTGCAGCATGCAGGTAATTCGATGTTTTAACCTGTACAATATTAGCTTAATAAGATTGAGTTCTCGTTGGACTTAGATCCTTTCATGGCAGCCAACACAAAAGAATGGCTGGAAAGGCGCCATCAACGGTAAAAACTGCACAACTATATGGTGAAAACAAAATGAACCCTTTTGTGTCTCGTTTCAATTATATCTAGTTCTGATGCACTTTCAGAATTTAAAAGCAGGATGTTTTCTTAGATAAAGGACTTAGTGCAGCTGATTTTATGTGGGTAATCTCTTTCATTTTGAAATTGTTTATAAGTATTTTCCTTTTATATAATAGACGCATACTCTTAATTAACCTCCCTGTATTAGGCATAGATTTCCATATATATACATGTGGAATATATATGAATATAGATGCGAATAATTTACGCTAGATTTCTCGTGCTACCAGCGGTTAATAGGCTAATTTCCGTATTGTCTTTTGAGTTCGCTGATTTTGCCATATGTTGTAATTGTAAACATGTCGGTGCCGTTTTCTGTCCTTGCTGTTATTGTTATTTTGCAATGGTTTATTTTGTTCCTTTTTGCACACACCCTGTCCAAGATGCGTGCGACTGCCGCTTGACGTCTACAACAGCCGTTTGTTTGTAATGGTCAGAATGTACCAAACTAATCAAGCCTAATTTGAACTGTGTTTGGTGCAGTGCTTCTTTACAGCATTCTTCACATGCACGTCAATCCGGGAGTCTGCGTGGTACTCCAATGAAAACGGGAGACGGAGAGTGTACAGAATATCGACAGTCGTACGTGCCTGACAGAATACGCATGGCTTCTGTAGAAACATTTTAAGATCGGTAAACCTGGACATCTTTTTTGGATTTTGCCCTGCAAAGGAAGATATTGGTGAACGTCAGTCTTTTGAATTACAGTAGGTAATGAATTGTAGTGTGCACCACCCGCTCCAACATCAAACTAGGGTTGTATTAAACATGGGCGGAGATCCCCCGGGGTGTGTGTGTGGAGTTATATTCCCCACTTTTTGAGGGGGGGTTGACCAATTATTATACTCACTCCCCCACTTTTTAAGTCACTGACTATATGCGTATACCCTTAGCTTGCACACACCGACTGCGCACCTGCCGACGTCATGTACGACCTCACCTGGGATAGAGACAGTGCTGAACTTTCAGAAATCATCCCCTCCCCACGTGGGACAAGAAATCTCCACCCCTGGTATTGAAACGTGGTTTTAATTCTTGACCCCGTGTGAAAGTCGTCTGCTTTCATAACTTTGATCGGTTGATTGAAACTACTTAGGGAAACGAATTTATGCTCGGTTTCGAAATAACTTTCTCCCCTAAATCAATGACCGGAACAACCTCGGAATTCCCTTTCTCTTTCAATTCCGTACCCTTTGTGGCCTTGGCAGCTGTCTCATAGCGTGTCGATTCCATCCATAAGCCAACCCACTGTCGATATGTCAAGCCTCTATGCTTGTTCCGCTGATTAAGTCCGGCATTTTTCCCCTGCACGGGGGAGCTGATGTGAACCGGCGGGTGCCCAACTGGTCGGCGGACGGTGTAACCGGCGCGTGCACGGCGTGTCCGTCCCAGCCATGAAGTGTTTTGCAGGTGTGAAACCGGCTGCCCAGTTTGCCCCATCAGGTTTTGACCGATATAATGTTTATCACACACTCGTTTTGACTAGATATCTGTACAAATATAAACAATCGTCCGTCTTTAGGGTTCAATATAATGCAAATCTGCATTAGAAAAGTTAGTGAGGGTAAGATATGCTTGTAATCATAAATAAGACTTAAAAGCAGTTCTGTGGGCAGGAAGCCGTTCTTTAATTAAAACTGCTACGCAGGTTATTGATGTTATTTTGTTGTATTATTATCTTGTCAAAAGCGAAGGTTTTCCTCATAAATAAACCTTGCCTTTTTCATTTCTAAATTAATCAATGAGTGTTATCAATGATTGATAAAAAGTGTTGCCAAAATAATTTAAGTCTTACGTCTTTAATTCAAACAGCTTATAGTTAAGATTTTTTTCGAATCTTAGTTTCTTCTAACCTCATTCTACGGTTTATAGATAGTCAGTTGCATGGTTTGCACGTATTGCCCTTCCCTATTGATAACCCTTTTATCCATTAATTATCCCTCAAACTGTTCAATGTTTTCCCTTATATGTCTTGGGAAATATGTACTCCATTACCACGTGTTTTGATCACGTGGTTTTAATCACGTATGTGGTTCCTAATGAATGGTTTTGATGCGGATGAACTTCTTAATGTTAGCCTATGCAGTAAAGCAACTCCAAGGCCTCCCTTTCTGCCACGCTGTCTTTACGCCTTACCACACCTGACCCTGCATGTTTCAGCCACATGAGTGGATGTGACATCGGAGCCGTATTATGGCGTCATCTTCCCCCCTTTTCTCACCCCACCCCCCGGAAGTACGTCAGGGAGGGTCCCCGGGGAGTATTTCTCTGCAGTGTACTCCGCCAAAGCTCCACGGCGCACTGCGCTACCTGGCTGGCAGTGGTATATCGCCCGGTAGCAGATCGACACGTTTTTCCCAGGACGCGATACGGGGTGGGGGGGGGGGTTGAAATCCGTAGACGCGTGCGGAATGGTTTCTTAGTGCTCTAAAGGTCGCCGACTATGCATGTATTGATGAATGACTGATGATGGAGAATTATAAAGGGCAAAAATAAATGGTTGATATTTATAGAGCATAACGCTCCCTTTCAGATGGAATAGCCCAAATGCAGAGTGGTGAATAATCTTTGGAAACAGCATTCGATTTTGTGTGTTTGTCTTTAGGTTTCGAGTTGAATTTTCTGTACGAAAAGTTAAGATTTTTCGTTGTGCTTTTCTTTTTAAAAATAAGTTCACCTCACTGCAATGTTTCTCTTGATTTTGATTCGATTGGTAACGGTTCCTGGATCAAACGAAAACTCAGTTTGGAGGACTTGTCAGCTGAAAAGATGCCACGATTAGCAAGAGATTACGTTGGCAACATCAAAACCAAATACTCAACAGTAAGATGGGGAGGAGAAAGTCTTTCTAGCACATAGCAGACGAAAAGGAATGTTTACGATTACAAATATAAGAATTTCACATGCTGACAGATCGAATGGGCTGTCTTTCCATTGAACGAGGGTAAACCATTCTTTGGTTCGTACAACTCCCGAAAAAATCTTGAAAACTCCCCGCATGAAATTATCCTGTGCCATTCCTGATATCAGAAATTCCTCTTGTGGCCGTGGAAAAGAACATCCTAGTTGTTTCATCAGCACGAGCTCGACGATCTATCGTTGAGGCCACGGGAAATCTTTTAGGCATTGTATACAGAGAAATTATTCCTTTTAGAAGTGAGGCCGAGCCGTATAATTCCCATTTCGCTGGAGCTTGTGCGCGTATAACAGCTGGTCACTGATTGACTTTTTTTTCTCAAAAGTTGCGAATCTTGAGCTGGCTACCGGCAATTAATTTTTGGCCTCCGACATATGATTTATAAGTTTCAGAAAGGGAAACTGATTTTTTTTATTGCTGGGTTGGTGGCGTTAATAAATGTTTGGAGTCTATCGTTCATCCATTCCTGCATGTTTCAGCCACGCAATTATGATTTGACATGAACAAGTGGTACATCTTTAACAACTTGTCCGCCGAGCGTAAAATTCAATATCTCTCGGAGTCGACAAGAAGATGAAAGCAAACATCTGCCCGTCCCAAATTGGAAATAAAATGAGAGCCCGTGTCGCCCGCGTCGATTGCCGTGTAAACGCCGGACCTCGTGACGGGCCGGGACCATGGGCCGGGCCGACCCCAGCGCTTGCTCGAGCCGCGGTCCGCTGCTCTCAGAGAGGGAAAGCAGTCATCTACGATACAAGTGGACATAAAAGAATTCCCACTTGTGACTGATTATTGCAAGTCTCCACTGCGATATTTGTGCTCTCCGAGGGATTATTTAAGGCAATTACTTGTACTTGCAGCAGCTCTCTCGCCATGTTGGTCAACCCCCCCCCCCACCCCGCGCCAAAGACCGAATCCGGCACTTGAGA